ACGGGTGCATCGCCGTAAATAGCATAGGGGCCTTGAGAATTAGACGAAGTCTTTGTGATACATTCTCGCATACTTATATAGGGACGGTAGGGGGATGCTAGTATACGCTAGTTCTCGAGACCCCATATTCAGTCTGCAACCCAGGCCTTAACCCCAAACTTTAAAAAGGGATCTATAGGGGTACCTTTAAGGGGTTCCTTTAAGGGATCTATAGGGGGTTTAGGGTTTAGGGTTGATGATAAGTACATCTTCTGGCTTAACAAGGAGTATGATCGAAATCCCCGTGTTCAGGCGCTCAGGAAAGGGGATTCATGAATCGGGGGTCTACATTAGTGGCCTTCATAATTAGAATGGGGTTTGGGGGTCTATAATACTATAATGTTATCATGAGAAACCCCAAAATAGTATATGTAAAAAGATATTATAACCCCACAGTCCTTAATGCACAAACTAGGAATCTTAAAGCCCTGATGCACCACAAAAGTATAACATGGACAGTAAAACCCCCTGCAAACCCTTCCAGACGCTAACCTTCAGCAATCCTCCGAGATGCTGAAGGAACAACTTGCAAGCTCAAAACTGCCGAAGAGACCCTGCTTTAAAAAGAAACTGCAGATAAATATGAACTGTAAAGCCTAAACCCCTAAACCTTAAACCCACAACCCCCAAACCCTCAACCCCTGAACCCTAAACCCCTAAACCCCGAAACCCTAACGCCATTTCAACAACACTGTGAGAGCTCACAAAACCCTATCAAACCCTTGACTTGATGCCTCAACCCTCGAACCCTAAAACCCCGGACCCCAACGAAAGTCCACAGTTGAGGGCATGGTGTTAAGGGCCCCTAAACCCTAAAATCAAAGCAGAAAAAGGAGGGACCCTTAATGGGGACCCCTACCCTATAATGGGCTATATAATGGGTATATAATAGCTATATTAAGGGTATATTCCTAGGGGTCCTTATGAAGGGTCCCTCCTTTTACCCTTGGACTTAAGGGTTCAGGGTTTGGAGTTTCTGGCTTGAACATGTTTTAGGCTGCACCGCAAGGGCAGTGAGAGAAAGCCAGCCGCCGCTCCGGCACAGTGTGGGCTTTAGCCCCATCAAACCCTGAAGCCCTCGAAAGCCCCTAAACCCTAAACTCTAAACGCGCAAACGCCTAAACCTTAACCCCAAAACCCCAAAACCCCACAACCCTAAACCCCCAAAGCCCTAAAGCCCCAAAGCCCCTCAATCCCTAAAACCCCTACGCCCCTAAACTCTAAACCCCCAAACCCTAAACCCTAAACCCCTGACGCTTACAGCCCTGCAGCCCTAAACCCCGAAACCCCTCGAAACCCCTCGAAAGCCCTCGAAAGCCTAAACCCTAAACCCCTAAACCCCTAAACCCCTAAACCCTAAACCCTAAACCCCAAACCTAAACCCTAAACCCCTGAACCCCAAACCCTAAACCCTACACCCTAAACCCTAAACCCAAAGCCCTGGCAGTTGAACTCCAGAAAAACCCCCCGGAGCTTCGAGACCCAGGCTCGGTCGACCGGGTGTTCGCACACCTGCCGCCAAGATGGGGCTTAGGGCTTAGGGCTGGGTTTAGGGGTGTAGAGCTTAGGAGTTTAGGGTGTAGGGTGTAGGGGTTTAGGGCTTAGGAGTTTAGGGTGTAGGGTGTGGGGTTTAGGGCTTAGGAGTTTAGGGTTTAGGGTGTAGGGTGTAGGGTTTAGGGCTTAGGGGCTTAGGTTGTAGGGTGTGGGGTTTAGGGTTTAGGGCTTAAGGGTTTCGGGTGTAGGGGTTTCGGGTGTGGGGTTTAGGGTTTGGGGTTCCCAATATTCAAGGTATTGGTGGTATGGCTGCTATTCTTGTTAGTAGTAATGGTGTGATTATAGGTAGCTGGTTTCTTTGGGGGATGCGGTTAATAACTGGCCTTAGTTGCAGTGACAGCTGCTATGAGCTTTTATCGGTTTCTTGTAGGATTCGAACTAGGCCTTGGCTGGGCTCCAGCAGATTTTCAATAGAGCTATCATGGAATGGAACGGGCTTCAGAAAGTGTGTGTAGCATCCTTCTTCTGTGGGAGGTGTACCCCGAAAACCTTAACTCGATGCCATCGACTTCCCTTTGGCGCTGCCCCTCGTAGTTAGTAGCTCTCGCCCGACGGGTGGCTTAGCACCGCTCTTTCTGTCGCGTGCCCACTTGCCCTCAAGATTGTTCATTGTAAGGGCCAGAGTAGGGTTTGGTTTGTTGTTCTTCTAATACTTAATACATGTACCGTCATGCTAAGAAATGGACTTGTCATGCTTCTCTTGAGTCAAGATACCACGTAAGCTTGCAAACCCTTGTTCACAGAGTTCTGCACGGTCATCGAATGCCTGAGACACAGGGCCGAATGCCTGAGACATGGGGCAAATGTGATCATCAAAGAAACACCTTAACTTACAACATGTGCTAGGCAGGTGAAACATGTCTCTGACGATTCCTTCCCATTTAAGCTCGTTGCCCGAACCCCGAAATTAGCACTGAATGTACAACTCCTACAGACCCGCTATCTTTAACACAAAGAACTCCCGATAAACACTACGTAAGCGTCAAAGCCAAGTCGAGACTACTAGCCCTGGCGACCTCTGCCAGAAGTGTTCTGAAACCCTACTTGGAGGGTCGGGGGACTTAGTAAGTAGGTAGTAAGTGGACTTAGAAGTACCCTAAAAGGGACCCTAATTGGGGTTATGGTACTTATAAGTCCCTAAAGTAACCAGTTCATAAGTCCCCCGACCCTCCAAGTAAACCCCAAACCCTAAGCCTACATCCACCCCTATCCCATGCCCCTAAACCCGAAACTTTAAGCCTCCAGCCCACCCCTATCAGCCCTCTAGAGGCCCAAACCCTAGACCCTAAAGCCTACCCAAAGCCAAAGCCCTAAACCCTAAACCCTCTCAAACCCAGGGCTTGCCCCGACCTGGCTCGACGTACTCCTCGAGTTTGATGGTTTAGGGCTGGAGCCGTTGTGATTCTCTCTAATAGCAACCCGAACAGTAACTCCTGTAGTACCATATCTTAGTACTCTTCCGCCAAAATTTCCTCACACCCCCGCCCCGCAACCCTAAAAACCCTCACTCTAATCCTCAAGTCTATACTCTAAACCCAATACCATACCCTATACTAAACCCAAACACTAAAACCTAACCCTAGCGCAAAACCTAACACTATACCCTAAACTGGCCCTAAACCCTAAACCCAATGCCATACCCTGTTCTATACCCTAAACCTAATTGATATAGCCACAATTAGAACCCCAAACCCTAAACCCCCTAAACCCCTAAACCCTGAACCCTAAACCTTAAACCCTTTCCGGACGTTCTGTAAACCCTACTAATAAGAACCCCAAACCCTAAAGCCCTAAACCCCTAAACCCTGAACCCTCAACCCTACACCCTTTTCGAACCTTCTGTAAACCCTACTAATTATATAATAAGAAACCCAAAACCCCTAAACCCCTAAACCCTGAACCCTCAACCCCAAACCTTTTTCGAACCTTCTGTAAACCCTACAAATATAGCCATATTAAGAACCCTAAACCCGAAACCCCAAAACCCCAAACCCTTTTCGAACCTTCTGGGTTCGGACCGGGAGCCTTAGGTGCTTCCCCCCCCCCCCCGCCCGAAAAAAGAAACTACGAAGTAAGGGTAACGGTGCAGGGTGGGTGGCCTTAGGGCTCCTTTAAAGGAGGTCTTTAAGGGGTTCCTATAAAGTAAAAGCCAGAAAGGATAAACCCTCTATGGTAAGTTATAAGGTATCCTACCCTGAAGCCATATTCCAACTTTCTGGAGTTCCCTTTAAGGGGTCGATGATAAGGGGACTATATTATAGGGGCCGTAGTAGTTCGAATAGGGCTTGGCGGCCTCAGACCAAAATAAAAATCAGGAAACCTTATATTATTATTGGTAGTTATTTAATACTTTGCAAAAACTATTATTGGTAATCATTTAAGCCCCTATGGTAGGGCTTAAATCCATAAGCAAGAGCTTTACTGGAGATGGTTCGGCCGGGAGATGCTGAAGGAACCCTGAACCCTGAACTCCGAAGTGCTCTTGTAGGAGCCCATGTAGTTCCTTTAACAGAGCACTAAACCCTAAACTGAAAAGTACCCTTCTAGAACCCTTATGGGTAATTGTCAAAATCATGGCTCCTTTTTTGGTACCCTAAAATTAAATATTAGCTATCGTATTATATTAAGGACCCAAAAAAGGACCATAATTTTGACAACCACCCTTACAGTTCCTTGAACCCCAAACCCATAGCTCCAAACTCAGGGCCCTAAGCCACAGCCCTGGGCCTTAAACACTTGAGGCCAGCCCAGAGCCCTTGGCTCTAAACCCTAAACTGCGGCCCGCAAAAAAGCACATAAGCAAAAATGTGGATAGGGATATCCCATATAAACCCCCTTATAATGAAGCCCAATATGGATAGGGATATCCCATGTAAACCCCCTTATAATGAAGCCCAATACGGTAGGGGTATCCCCATAAAATGCTTATGCTTATGTCCTTTTGGAGTTCCCTAATATGCCTGCCCTAAGCCCCAGACCTTCAAGCCAGAGTCCTTAATACCCCCAGAGACTCCAATATCCATTAATTAAGGAATATACCTTAAAGTATAGTAGGATCCCTGATATGATTGGAGGTATATTCCTTAATTTAGGGCTATTGGAGTCTCTGGGCCCATTCGATATCCTGGTCAGCGTGGGAAAGAGCCATCGGACTCGAGCTAGGCCGTAAACCCTAAAGAGGGGGTTGAGGGTTCTCGGAATTTGCAACTCATGCAGCGGGTGTTGCAAAATGTTTTAGTCTGCTTATGTGGGGACTATTATAAGAGAAAACTAAACCTTATCAAATCTTGAAGAACCCCACCAAGCTTCAAAGGGTTCGAGTTCTTAAGCCCTACGCCCTAAACCCTAAGCCCCAAACCCTACAGCCCTCTGTGGCTCTCCGGTTCTGATATTCTCGGGTCTCCTCGCCGTCGGAACCCTCCAGGAAGCTTCCCCAGCTCCTGTCGGTTTCGGGTTTGGGGTTTAGGATTTGGCGTTTAGGGCTTCGGAGCTCGGGTTGGAGTTTAGGTTTCGCAGTTTTTTGGGTTTAGGAGTTCGGGTTTCGGGGGTTTAGGGTTTAGGGTTTAGGGGTTCGGGTTTCGGATTTGGAGTCTACATGTAAAATTGAGGATTTCGGGTTTAGGGTTTCGGGCGCAAGGTTCAAGGGGGGCTGGGCTAAGCTGGCGTCTTTCCGACGGTTTCGGAAGAAAGGGCTGAGAAGGGTCGGGGGGCAACGATTGAGCAGGGGTGGAGCATTCATATAGGGGCGAGGTTCCTTTTATGTAATAATTAGAGTAGGGTTTTGGGGCATTGGTGCCCCTTCATAGTAGAATGCCACGTTTGTATGCAATGGTGTACACATGATGTCTTGAAAGACGCCATATCAAAGTAGAGTACACACACGCACACGCATTCAAATTCTGGCACACACGGCGGCAAATCTTCTGCCAGTCCCCACGAGCTTCGATAGGACTCTGGTTGTCCCACCAAGTACACCAGGACTGCAGAAGATGCCACACTTGCCCACGAGCTCGTTACACATCCAAGCGAGCTGGACATCTATTAAGAGCTCGCTGTATCCTCCATAACGAACCGCTGTCTGGTCGCACAAGGCGATTGTGCGTTCGCGCAGTTCCGAGAGCGTCTTTCCCCATAGGGGCTCGTAGATGATTTCGTTGTACTGGAGGTACGGGAGGTACAGGCCCGAGAAGATCGTTGGACAAGTCGGTGCATTGTGGGATATAGGACGAGGCTGTAAGTATACTACTGACTGAACATGCCTGAAGATACCTCAAAAGCCGAGCTTGAATCAATGCTGCCATATGCTTTCCTGTACCCTATGGCGTTTTGGTATGCCAAACGAAACGGGCTCTGCATGAAAGCACAAATCAACCTTCAATCAAGTGTAAACCAAAGACCATAAATCCCGCCAGCACATGGAAACCCTCACATGTAGTCAAATTCTACGCCCTTTAGAGCAAAGGTTAAACCCTCTCTACATTAAGCCCTCTCCACAAAAGCCTTCAAGAACGCTCTAGAGCCCCATGCAGTAAGCCTTGTAACGCCCCACAAAACCCTACTAAAGTCCCATGTATGAAAGGCCCCATATACATGCCTATTCAATGCCAATATTTTTCAGGGCTCCCCGTTATAACCAACATGCAATATAGTCCAACCCTAATTGTTGTACTCAACGTGACACCTCTGAAGCCCTATGAAACGAATCCTATCAAAACCCTGCACCCTAAATCCCAAACCCTAAAACCAAAAACCCGAAACCCCAAACCCTAAACCCCAAGCCGTAAACCCTAAACCCCAAGCCGAGAAAACCCTAAACCCTAAACCCGAAGCCCAAAACCCAAATCCCTACACCCCAAACCCTAAAACTCTAAGGCCCAAGCCCTAAACCCTAAACCCCAAACCCTAAAACCCTAAACACCAAGCCCTAAACCCTAAACCCGAAATCCTAAGCCCCAAACCCCAAGCCCTAAACCCGAAACCCCGAAAGCCTAGAAGCCGTATTCTGATGGGAGGCCAAAACGGGGGTTTAAGATTCTTAGGGTGGGGATTGCTTAATATGAACCCTATTAAACCCCTCTTGGCCTCCTAACCCCTAAACCCCAAACCCCTAAACCCCTAAACCCCCTACACCCTAAACCCCTATGAAACCCCTGTTAAACGTTGGCCTCCTATGATATTCGGACGCCCAGCCTCCGCACCGGACCGGCCGAGTGTGGCCTGGGCTGCGGCCTCGAAGGAGGATTTGTGGGACCAGTCTTTAGGGCCTTTAGGGTTTAGGGGTTTAGGGTTTAAGATTTAGGGGTTTAGGGTTTAGGAGTTTAGGGGTTTAGGGTTTAAGATTTAGCGGTTTAGGGTTTAGGGGCTTAGGGGTATAGGGGTTTAGGGTTTAGGAGCTTAGGGGTTTAGGGGTCTAGGGTGTTGGGGCTCAGGGGTTTTAGGGGTTTAGGATGTTGGGGTTTAGGGGTTTAGGGCTTCAGGGGTTTAGGGGTTTAGGGGTGTAGGAGCTTAGGGTTTAGGGGTTTAGGGGTTTAAGGATTAGGGCACCTACTTGGGAGTTTCCGAGAATACCTTAGGCTACCAGAACCGACTTTTTTGCAGGCCTGACAATACTACCTACGAAAGCCCAACCCCTAAACCAGAAGCCCGAAACTACGTACCATGAGATGATGACTGGAAGCCCAGGCATGGGACCGGAAAACCTAGGCTAATAGAGGCCTGAAAAACAACTGGGTTCTTGTGAACGGATTTAAAACTTTGAAGTAGCATAATAAAGAAATCATGTTATTTACTATAGATCCCTACAATGGTAGCTTAAGTTAAACCCTTAACAAGAACCCCAGACAAAACAAGCTCCTCTAAAGGTTCTTTAAGCTCTGTAACGGGTTCCCTAAGTGATCGAGAAAGATACAGGGGCCTTGATGCTTAGGATGGGACGGTTATTCTTTTAACACCTTGGGACGGTTTAGGGTTCAGGGATTAAGGTTTTGCCTACATCGTGATAAGACTCTGGTGGAGGGATACTGAGCAGATATGAGAGGTTCCAAAAATACGGGACCCTAAGATAGCACACTAAACAGTAGGATCCTTATTAAAAGGACTCCCGAATTTTTCGAAGCTCCCACATCACTCTTAGCGGTATGACCCGTTATGTCCTGCTGGCCCTCCATGGCTTCAGTCCCATGCATCATTTGCCGGCACTTAGCTTGCAGTTTGGGCTTTAGGGTTTAGGGCTTTAGGGTTTAGGGCTTTAGAGTTTAGGGTTTCTGTGCGGTGTGGTCGGACATATTCCGCACCGGTGCTCTTCTTTTTACAGAGGCTTGCATGGCTTGATCAGAGTGATTGGGTGCTGTGATGTGCTGTGGACTTCGATAATCCAACTTATATGGGAGTTTCCCAAAACAGGGGACCCTAGTAAAGTACCCGAAACAGTAGGATCCTTATTATGAGGACCCCAAAATAAGGTATCCTAATTTTCGGAAACTCCCATATGGGGCCTTGCAAAGCTTGTGTACTTAACCCGCAATCCTTAGCTTTCTAAACAGCCTGAACCCCAAAACTCCAGCCGTACATCGTGAACCACCAAATAATTAAATCCTAAACCACCAAACCCCTGAACCTCAAACCCCAAACCCCCAACCCTAGGCCCTAAACCCCAAACCCCTAAACCCCAAACCCTGATCCCGAAACCCCAAACCCCCAAACCCTCGCACCGGACCCCCCCCCCCCGCCGCGCCTTGATTTCGGGAGGCCCCGCGGTGGAGGACCCCAACGCATGGAGCTCCAGCCATGGAAAGGCCAAAGGTCATTTTGAGAGTTTAGGGGCTCAGGGTTTAGTAGGGCGTAAGGTTCACGGTTTAGGGTTTAAGGTTGAGAGTTTAGGGGTTCAGGGTTTAGTAGGGCTTAAGGTTGACGAGTTTAGGGGTTCAGGGTTGCGGTTTAAGGTTTAGGACTCAGGGGTTTATGGTTTAGGGTGTAGGAATGACGGGAGCTTTGTACGCAAGAGTGACCCCCGACGCCCCAATCCCCAAAGTCTCACACCTTGAGGCTCAGGTTTCACCTGGGTTGTCTGTGTTAGGTGGAGTCCGAGTGCTGGGGCTTGGGATTCATACATGGTTGAGATCGGGCTCAGGGTTGAGACGCGAGATCCGGCCCGGAAGGATGCGCTCCCGTGGCGCACGCAGCTTTTTGTGCCGAGATTGCTCACAAAAACATCGGGGGATTGAGGGTTTGGGTTTTGGGTGATTGGTTCTGGCTTTTGACGCCTGTGTAGGGCCCCAAAAAAGCACATAAGCAACAATCAGGATAGGGATATCCCATATAAATGTAAATCCCCTTTTCATGAAGCCCAACAAGGCAGTGATATCCCCATAAAACGCATATGCTTATGTGCTTTTTGGGTCCCTAACTGTGGTTGAGACGGCCCGCTGTCAACCCACCTTAATAGTAGGCCTATTATAGACTCTTACTGTATGGGGGCGTACCTACCACATGCCTTTAGTTTAGGGATCGAGGTCTCGCGCTGAAAATTTTGTTGGCATGTATCCAGCGGGCACTTCCTGCACAAGTCTCATCTAAGGACATCTTATACGATCCTGAATAATGGCACATCCTCGTCCTTAAGGGCTCCTTTTTATAGTTGTAGCATTATCATATGTATTGCACCAAGACCATATTCCGGGAACCTGACCACCGAAGCTGCATGATATTTCGAGAATACGGAGCCAATAGTGCGACTCTTTGCAGCTGTGACCTCTCTTTGGGAAGCTTGAATCTTGCAACAGCCTCAAGGCTAAGACCCCCAAACTTCAACCCAGACCCCAACCCTAAGCTGAACTGAAGGCCTCATACAGGGGCAGTATCGGGGACATACTACCAAATGGATTTGAGGATCTACTCCAAAATATTTTCTTACTACGGTGCCGTAAGGAATAGTATTTATAAGCTAAGTATTCCCTTGTACATCCCTTTGTAGATCCTTGATAGATCCTGTAATTGAAGAACCCTGAATCCTTTATAGACCCAAAAACTAAAGAGCCCATTAAAAACAAAAAAGGAACCTAAACTAAACCCTGGACACTAAACCCTAAAGCCTAAACCTAAACCCCAGACCCTAATTAAACCCTAAACCCCAAACCCAAAGCCCTAGACCTGACCTACCAAAACCTACAAACAAAGTAGGTTCCCTATAAATCCCATATCAGGGTTTATAATAAGAACCCACAAAAAAAGTAGGGTTTGGGATTTTAAAGTAAATCTAAACCTAAACCCTAAACCCTAAACCCTAAACCCTAAACCCTAAACCCTAAACCCTAAACCCTAACCCTAAGCCCTAAACCTAAAGAGCCCAGAAAGAAACCCTCAGAGGCCGCCACTCGCCCATGCGAACACCGCAGCTGACCACGCTGGAGGCCTCCCGAAGAACTCGGGGGTTTAGGGGTTCCTTTAAGGGTTCCTTCAAGGGATCTATAAGGGTTCCTTTAAGGGATCTATGGGGTTTAGGGGTTTGGGGGTTTAGGGGTTTAGGGGTTTGGGGCTTTAGGGCTTCAGGGTTTTAGGGTTTAAGTAAAGTAGGGGTTTAGGTTTGAGGGGTTTAGGGTTGAGGGTTGAGGGTGTATAACAGTATGCTTGCGGAGGGCGCTTCTTTCCCACTCATCGCGCTGTAGTCCCGCCCCAACCACCCCAACTATTCTCAATTGGGGTTTCACAGAGGAACCTGATTAAGAAACCTTGGGCCTTTGTTAGGGTTCCTTATATGAATCCTTCTATTTTGGGGTTTATCGGCCCAGGGTTTCTTAATCAGATTCCTACATTAGGGATGGTTCACCCCCCAAACTCCCCTCAAGGGAAAGTTGAGGTTTGTGGGTTTAGGGGCCTAGGGGTTTAGGGGTGCTTTAGGGGCTTAGCGGTTTAGGGGGTTGGGGGTTTGGGGGTTTATGGGTTTAGGGGTTTAGGGTTTAGGGTCTCGAAGAACCGAAACCCTCCCTGGGAATGGGAGAATGTGGTTTTAGGGACTACATAAAGGGACCCTAAGGGACTGTATGGGAACCCGACAGCCCTAAACCCTAAACTCCGAAACCCTAAAGCCCTAAAGCCTTAATTTCCTGACGCCTCGGTGTGACCGAAGACCTGACCGTCGACCTGCTCAGGGACACGGGGTGCATGGGAAGCAGCCTCCCTCCAAGAAGGAACCCTCAAAGGAGCCCTCAAAGGGACCCTCAAAGGAGTCCTTTTAAAGGACCCTTAAAGGGGTCCTTGAAGAAACCCTTAAGGGTGATTTGAGGTGTGGGGTTTCGGTCGCAATATGCGGAAAATTCCAACCCTCCAAAATGTCAATATGCCAGTCTTTCCTTTTTTAGGATGATTCAGGCTTCCATAAGGGCTTTTGCTTCAAGGATTTGAGGTATTGGATTTGAAAGCGATTTGGGAGTTCGGGTTTCGGGCTCTGTGGGTTTACAGCTATTACTGGGCTTAGTTTGGGCCTCAGGGTTCAGAAGAGCTCCTTTTGAGAGGGTTTAGGGTTTCGGGTGTTCGGTTTAGGTTTAGGGTTAGGGACATTTGCCTGGAGGTTCATGGGTAGCTACAAGTAGGGTGATAAGTAGGGTAACTATACGTGTGACCCGTATTCGGGGGCTTATAGTCCCACTTATAACTACGCATGAACCTCCAAGTGGGCTTTTCCTGGAATGTTGTCTCAGGCTCGGCTCTTGGGGAGGTTCAGAAAGTTTTTGCGAAGCTGCTTCTGGGGTTCTATGCCAGCAATCTCTTTAAGAAAGGTTTAGCATTGATGAGGTTCAGGGATAGAGTTCAGGGTGTTGGAGGTTTAGGCCCCAATGACAAGTTTATCATAGTATGACTTACTACTGGAAGATCCAGTCTAGTGCTTCGAGTTGGCCGTGTAGCAAAGTGAGCGGCACGTGTTTGTCGGTGTCCTTTTGAATTACAAGGACCCAACACAAACCTTGTGGTTGTGTTATGTCTTCGTGCATGAGCCTCTAGTGATCTCTTTGCGGAAGGCTCGCATGATGCGTTCGTATCTTTTGTGCCACTCTGAGCTTTGGTTGTAGCGCGTGCGTTTGGGGAGTATTCGGGTCAAGGGGTGTTGGCTTCAAGGTTTACCTCGGTTCCAAAAAATAGAGAAAACATTGCCAAGGAACGCTAAGAACGAAAAGACCCAAAGCCTTAAATCCTGACCTCCACTTCCACCGTGGCCCTACACCTTAGACCCCAACCAAAAGTGCCAATCATGCCAACGAACTGACATCCCGACGAACTCTCCGACCCTAAACCGTAAACCCCTAAACCCCTAAACCTCTAAACCCCTAAACCCCCTAAACCCCCTAAACCCCTAAACCCCTTTCAAACCTTAAACCCCCGAACCCAAACCCGGGGGTCCCCACGGAGATCCGCGCACCCGCGACGCAGCATTGGCAGCAGCGCGTGACGAGGGAAACCTGGGGGGGGGGGGGGAACATCGGGACTTTGCAACACCTGGACTCGAAGGACCCGACCTTTTTAGGACTTCTTTGTATAAGTCCCTAAACAGGTAGGTTCCAAAGGGTCCAGGGAGGGTTTCTTGGAGGTTCATGGGTAGTCACAAGTGCAGTGGGGTTGTAAGTCCTCCAATATGCGTTCCAACTTTTGTTACCCTAGTAGTCACAATTGCAGTGGTGTTGTAAGTCCCCGCAAAAAGGGCTCTAGCTTTTGTTACCGTACTTGTAATCCCCACTTCTAACTACCGACGAAACTCCAAGTACCTCAATTAGGCGTCCTGAGGAGGAGTCCTCAGGTTTAGGGGCTTAGGGGTTTCGGGGTTCCTTTGCAAGGGTACCGTAAGGGTCCCTTTGAGAGTTGTTTTAACAAGGGCTATAAGGGATTTATCATAGGGTTTAGAGTTTACAGCGTCGAGCTTTAGCTATAACGTTCAGGGATGCCCTGAAACCTGACGTCACCTAATATAGGGGCCTTAATAATTAGAATAGGCTCTTGGGGCCCATTATACTATGATTATTTGGAACCACCAAAATAGCTTTGGTAATCATTTAGGCCCCTATAGTACTACAACCAGGAAGTGCAAAACACAACGCTACTCAGAGCAGACCCTCGTAAGACCCTGAAGCTTAAAGCCCCTGAATCCAACAAGGTTAAGCCCGAAAACCACCTTTTCTTTGATTCGTAGGGAATGGAGGAATGGGGCAGAATTATAACTACTATTACTACCATTCTTCCATTCCCTACTAACCAAAGGTAAGCACAGTCCAAAGCTTGAACTCCCTGGCTCTTTATCCAATTCTAACACTCCACAACGAAACACCAATTGTAGGGTTTAGGGTTTTCGTTTTTGAGGTTTAGGGTTAACCCTGAACACTAAACCCACTAACTGAAACCGGAAGCCTTAAAGCTAAGTTGAAGCACCCGTAATAGCTCGACAACCCACACAACAAACCCCGACTCCTGTATCAACCCTGAAGCCTCAATCCTACACTTCGCAGCCCGACTCGCGGCAATCTGGGCATCCTTCTTCTCACTGGCCCAAAACCCAAGAAACTACAAGCCGTTAAAAGTCCCTTATGAGACCTCCAAAGCCCTTTTCAGACCCGCAAGCGTCGACTAAACCCAAGAACCCCTCTCTTTTAAAAACCCAAAGCCCTGGCCCTTCACAGGAACCCTTTGGAGACCCAAAACCCTAAACGGCTTTCAAGCCCTAAACCCTGAGCGCTAAACCCCTTAAACTTGTTAAACCCTTTGAACCCCGTAACCCTGAACCCTACACCCCCTAAACCCTAAACCCCCTAAGCCCCAAAGCCTAAACCCTTTGAAGCCCTAAAACCTGAACCCCAAACCCTTTGAGGCCCTAGACCCCCAAAACCCTAAACCCCCTAAAGAGCCCTGAAGCCCTAAACCCCCTTGAAGAGTCCTCAAGCCCTGAAACCCCCTAAAACGCCTTTATAAAGCCTTAAACCCCCCAAAACCCTTAGAAGCCCTAAACTCCCTAAACCCTAAACCCCCTAAAAAGCCCCAAACCCCCTAAAAAGCCCTGCAACCCTCGACTCAACGTTTGCTCACAAGGCGCCTCCACGATCGGCACCCCAAGCCTCGCAACCTCCACCTCGGGGTTAGGGTTCCTTTAAAGGGTACCATGAGGGTTCCTTTAAGGGATCTATAGGGCTTAGGGTTTAGGGTTCAGGGTTCAGGGCTTACGGTGTAGGGTTTAGGGTTTCGGCATGGCAGGCGCTTTCGACTTGAAGATTTGAAGGGTATTTTGGGGTTCCTTTACAGTAAGGGTTCTTGAAGGGGCTATAAGGCATAGCATCGGGGTGTTTCGGGGCTTAGGGTTTAGGGTTTTGGGCTTTAAGGGTTTACGGCAATTTGTGGTTCAGGGCTATAGGGTTTGCCGGTTTAGGGCTTTTGGGTTCAGTGCTGTAGGGGTGGGGTTATGGGATATATCGGTTTGGGGTTTAGGGTTTAGGGTTTCGGGTAAGGCGTTTTGTGGTTTAGGGCTTCAGCGGTTAGAGGTGAGGGTTCGGGCTTAGGGTTGAGGGGTTTCAGATTTGGGGTTTGGGGGTTTAGGGTTTAGGGTTTGGGGGTTAGGGTTTAGGGTTTAGGGTTTAGGGTTTAGGGTTTAGGGTTTAGGGTTTGGGGGTTAGGGTTTAGGGTTTAGGGTTTAGGGTTTAGGGTTTGGGGGTTAGGGTTTAGGGTTTAGGGTTTAGGGTTTGGGGTTTAGGGTTTAGGGTTTAGGGGATTTGGAGTTTGGGGGTCTATGCAAGCAGTCAGCAGACAATCCCCGCGAGCAGTCAGAGGCAAGTCTTGTTGCGGCCAGCTTCGACGTTGCATACTCCCAGAGCCTCCAAAACCCTTTAATCAAGGAATATACCTTAAAGTATAATAGGATCCCTAATATAATTTAAACATATTCCTTAATTCAGGGGTTTTCGAAGCTCTGGGCTTACCAACCGTCCTATGCAGCGGCAAGTCCGATCGCCTTGCGTTGGAAAGGAGAAGTGCGCACTCCCCGTGCGGCCGACTCCAGGCTCGGGGTCGCCCCACCTTAAGGACGAAATGATTCCTAAAAGGGTTTAAGGTTCATATACCACATAGGGATTCATAGTATATGGGTATAGGGCCCCTACTTTTAAGGGTCATTTGGTCCTTCAGGCAGGTCACCACACTGAAGTTGCCTGCCTACTCCTGTGCCTCCCGCTGTCGTCGGGTCGGAATGCCGTCGGTCTGACTCCGGGCCCCGTGCCTGTGCACCAGCACTCGTTCGAGGAAATTCCGCAGAAGACGCAGGGTGCCACCCATGGGAGTTTCCGAAAATAGGGTACCCCCTAATATAGTACCTTAAATTAAATAGTAGGATCCTTATTACAAGGACTCCAAAATGAGGCACTCCTAGTTTTCGGAAACTCCCATCTCTGCCTGTTCGTACCCTGGAACCGGAGGAACGGCGGCCGCTGCCTGCTGTCTTTCTCAGGTTGTCAAAGGCAAATGAGAGCATTCAAAATGACCCCGGAGTTCTAATCAAGCCTTAACCTGTAAACACTGAACGCTGAACGATCGTGCAGTGAGGGAGGAATGAATGCGGTGTTGGGTTAGGGCGGGTAGGGCTTAGCTAGTTTAGAATCTTTAACCTGAAATAAGCAACCTTTTCAGGACTTCTATACGGAATTATATTAAGGAACCGCTAACCAGGCAGGTTTGGTAGGGCTCAGGGTTTGCATAGTAAAGAGCCCGAAACAAGCAGATTTTGTGAAATTCCCTATCGCACATCACACCAGTAGACATACACGTTGTTCACTTGGCGACTTGAGATATACTATATGAGAGCCGTAGTACTATACTAGGGACCCCAAAGCCCTCAGAACCTTTCGTCCAATGCATCACAGCGTAGGATTTAGCGTTTACGGTTTACGAAGCCCAAAGCCGTAAACTCTACTTTTACAAATCCGCAATCCTTAAACCCAAAACAGCTCAACCCCAAACCCCAAACCTTGTTATAGATCCTTATAGCCCTTTAACGAAGCCTTGCAGGAACCCCCACAATACCCTCTAAAGGAACCCCGAAACCCCTAAACCCTGCTTTCACAAACCCCTGACTCTATTATAGATCCCTTCTAATGTGTGTGTGTGTATATATATATATATATATATAGCTAGCCCCTTAAAGAATCCTTGAAGGAACCGTCCTTTAATACCCTTATACCCTGCAAAGGCATCCCTAAGCCCGACGACCCTATTATAGATCCCTTCTAATATATATATATATATATATATATATATATACATATATATATATATATATTTATAGATCCCTTATAGCCCTTTAAAGAAGCCTTAAAGGAACCCCCACGAAATCCCTAAATCCGACTTTCACAAATCCCTGCACGACAGAGACAGCTGGGCACAGCGACCAGGCGGCCGGTGCCGTGCGCCTCGCCGGCAAGCGGCTGAGGGGGGTTTAGGGTTTAGGGTTTGGGGTTTAGGGTTAGGGGGTTTAGAGTTTAGGGTTTAGGGTTTAGGGTTTAAGGTTTAGGGTTTACGGTTTAGGGTTTAGGGTTTAAGGTTTAGGGTTTAGGGTTTAGGGGTTTAGGGTTTAGGGTTTAGGGTTTAGGGTTGGTGGGGGGGAGGGGAGGTGGTAGGGTTTAGACAGGGTTCAGGGTGTCAGGGGTTCCGGGGCCCATTAGACTATAGTTATATGAAGTTAGGGTTTATGAAGGGTTCAGGGGAGGGTTTAGGGTTCAAGGTAGGGTGTTAGGATTTAGGGGGGTTGAGGGGTTTAGCGGTTTAGGGTTTGCGCTTGGAATTGCTTTCAGAAGACTTCTGCAAGGGTTCGAATAAGGGCTTCAAATGAGCCTGCGAAGGGGTGTTATAAGGCCTTCATCAGCTGGCTAATACCGGTCTCGTATGGGTTGTTGAAGGGCTTTAGGTGGCTGTTACGAGGGGTTAGAATTCAAAAAACAAATTTAGGGCTACAAAGCTTTAGCGTGCGCAGTCTAGTTCTCAGGGTTTGACGAAAGTATGAGAGTGTTGGGCATAATCCAGAAACACAAAAATCTGTTCGACATTGCAATCGGGTGTTGCCGGTCTTTACAGAATCATCATGCAAGCATTGTACCACCAACCCCTTTCATCTAAACCTGAACCAAGCATTATCTCTCTCCAAGGCCGACGACAGTCTGAATATCCGATGTGTGGCTGTTCGAGGAAACAAGCTTTGGTAGTTGCAGACTCGGGGCTCCGGGGCCCAACAGAACCGGGCACCCCATGTGCTGGGGTCATGGGCTGAGCGAGTGGCTCAAAAGTGGGTCCGTGAAGATTGGACACACTGGTCAGCTGACCGGTCACGATGAAGTAGGAAGTATATGAAAGATAGCGTGAAGACGAAGATGCCGGCCAGGACCAGCACGAGGGTGCTGATGGCGACAGCGTTGATGATGATAAGTTCGAGGAGGATGCCGACAATAGTGCTACAAACACTGACTCGATGCAAAGAACACAAGCAGTAGCAGTAGCAATTGTGCTGTTCAGCAGTAGTTTATGTAGCAAAAGTAAGAATAGCAGTAGCAGTATCATAGTCCTCGGAGAAGCAGCAGCAGTGGGGGAAGGTGGTGGTGGTGGTGGTGGTGGTGGTGGTCGTAGTACTAGTCGTCGTCGTAGTAGCCGCAGCAGCAGTAGCAGCCCACAACCCTAAGAAACCCGGTATTACTGGAATCTGTCGCCAGCCTCCGTTGCCCTTTCGCTGAGAGGGCAGGACCTGCGACTTCTTTTGTAGATATTGCAATGTCCAGGGTCGAGATCTAGGATTACGAGGTTTAAGGATTCGATTGTTGGTTTAAGATGTTCATTAGTATATACTGCTACGAGTGATGCTACAACCACGACGGAATTACGAGGCATAGTGTGCTGGTGCTTGTTGCTACTATGGTGACCTTCGTGCTGCTGGTAGCATGGCTCTGGTTCCGATTGGAACTCTGGTCGGTTGGCCATGTCTCTCACTAGCAACAGGCAGCAGCACTTCTGCGCAGTACACGGGCAGAGTATCCAGAATCCAGAAGTTCATGACTGTGGCTCATGGCTGCTCGCCGGACAATTAGCACGAAGCTGGATAGGTAATGTGACTGTGTTTCCCAGAAGAAACAAGACCTACTTGTCGGGTGTCATGGGAAACTACCTTTTGGTTATGTAGGATTTCATAGGGACTACACTACCCTATAAAAAATTAAAGATTACCTACTCTACTACTTGGAATACAAAACACCTTTGACCACTCGCCCTCTTGCTAGTAACAGGCCTGCTGCTGGTCCTAGCGAGCGGATGCTACCGCCAAGCGGTGGCTGGGTTTCGAGTTGTTTTCGGCAGTGGGAATTTCCGGGCATGAGGGGTACCTTGTAATTAGGATCGTACTACTTAAGATACTGTATATTAGGGTCCCCTATTTTCGGAAAACTCCCGTATCGCAGCAGATGTTCAGTTACATCCGCTCGGTCTTCCTTGAGACCCCGCCTAAGTTGCTAAGCCTTCTGTTTTTTTGTCTGATGCCTATCGAGACGAGAGTCTAGCAGGCATAGCTTAAGGCCACTTGCCCCTTTTGCGCAACTTTTCGATGCGTCAGGCGCATAAATCAAAGCAGGCAGCAGCAGAGCTGCGCACCGCGATCATCAAGCACTCTCGAGATCAAGCTGGCAGCTTCATGAAACAAGATCACCCAAGAGCGCTTACATTGAAGGTCCAAGTAGTCCTTTATTACAGTGTTTGGTACCTAAACAGGCCCCAGAGTCAAATGATAAGAAGTACTTGGACCCTTGGGGTTTAAGGTTAAAGCTTGAAGCCCCTATGCCTATCTTCCCCGTATTCACTGCGGTTTCTTCTACGCACGAAGCGGCGGCTAGCAAGAAGGACCGTCACGTAGAAGGTCCCTGTGCATCTCTGGACATTTTCTGCAACGTGGCCACCGCCCGTTCCTGGGCTGCTAACAAGCTTCGAAATGGGAGTTTTTCCGACAATTAGGGGTACCTTAATTTGGGGTCCTTATAATATGGATCCTACCATTTAGAGTGCTATATGAGGGTCCCATATTTCGAAAATAGGGCAGCCCTAGGGTTCCTTTCAGAGGGTTCCTTAACGGCATCCATAAGGATTCTGTAGAGGGTTTAGGGTTTAGGGAGTTTCCGAAAATAGCGGGACGCTTTAAGGGATCCCTTTAAAGGGTTTCTACAAGGGTACTATAAGGGTTCCTTCGAAGGACTGTATATGGGTGGAGTTTCCGAAAATAGGGGGTCGCTTTAAGGGATTTCAGGGATCTACAAGGGTTCTATTAAGGCTTTAAGGTTTAGGCTTTAGGTTTGGGAGTTTCCGAAATTGGGGGACCCTAATATAGCACCCTAAGTAGCAGGATCCTCATTGTAAGGACCCCAAAATAGGGTACCCCTAATTTTCGGAAACTCCCAATTTACTAGTCGGGTTTAGGGTTTTGGGGTTTGGACTTTGGGTTTAGAGTATTGGAGCCCTGAAGCCCTGCACCCCCTAGAAACCCCAAGTTGGGAACCTCCAGCCGTCCACCCTGAACCTCTCGAGACTCCTTCTAGAACCCTTTATGGGTCCCTTGGGCCTTTACCAGGGCTCGTTTTGGGGGTCTATGAGGGTTACAAAAAGGGATCTACAAGGGTACTATAATAACGTAGGAACCTGACTAAGAAACCTTTATGGAACCCTTACAGAACCGCCCATCATGGCCCCCTAACTTTCGGAACTTAACGAAAGCCTCGCAAAACCTTTAGCCTTCTCGGGTCGGGTTCTGGTTCTCATTGACAAGCTTGGGCGCCGAACCGGCGGGCATCGTCGACGTCTTTGATGCCGCCGAAGATGTTGCCGGCGATGCGGCCGACGGATGCGCAGATGGCGCCCCAGCCGCGGCCACTGATGACCATGTTGCTGCTGGGGTGGCCAACCTTGCGACTGATGCAGTTGACGCCGAAGCGCCTGCCGATGCTGTTGTAGGCAAGCATGCAGAGCGAGAGCCGTTCGCTGGTAGATCTTGCGAAGGCCGTGCTCCTCGAAAATGCCTGCAATGAACTCGGCGATGTCGCTGCATCCGCCGATGTCAATGATGATGCTGTCGTTGGAGTACTGGCTGCTGCTGAGGTTGACAGCCAAGCGGCTCGCTAGGTTCGCCTTGAAACTATAAAGCCTTCTTTTACCTTTGATCTGGGGGTCGGACATTTACTCTAGGACACATAGGAACTTCTACATCATGTGCCTTGCACAATGCGCTCCGATGGAACCTTCAAACCAAGATTTCAGTCTACGTGCAGTCTGTAAGGCTGATGGCTTTCGGTTCAGGCTAGTCTCTCGAGTAGAAGGCTTACGGGTTTATATAAGGGTTTGCGGGTGCAGTGTTAAGGGTTTGGGGC